TCAGTGGGGAGCCTGCCTCCTCCTCCTGTCTCTCTCTGCCTGCCTCTCTGCCTACTTGTGATCTGTCAAATAAATTTAAAAAAAAATCCTTAAAAGCCTTCCTATAAAAAAACCAAATGGACAAAAAAATAGGTTTTGGGCACCTGGGTGACTCAATCGTTAGGCGTCTGCCTTCGGCTTGGATCATGATCCTAGGGTCCTGGCATCAAGTCCCACATCGGGCTCTCTGCTCAGTGGGGAGCCTGCTTCCCCCTCTCTCTCTGCCTGCAGCTCTGCCTACTTGTGATCTCTGTCTGTCAAATAAATAAAAATCTTTTAAATAAAAATAAAAAATTTTTTTAAAAAGTGAATGGGAGAACATATTTGCAAATGATATATCTAATAGAGGTTAATATACAATATATGTAAAGAACTTACACAACTCAACGCCAAAAGAAACAATCTGATTAAAAATTGGGCAGAGTGGGGCATCTGGGTGGCTCAGGGGGCTAAGCCTCTGCCTTCAGCTCAGGTCATGATCTCAGGGTCCTGGGATCAAGCCCTGCATCAGGCTCTCTGCTCAGCAGGGAGACTGCTTCCCCCTCTCCCTCTGCCTGCCTCTCTGCCTACTTGTGATCTGTCAAATAAATAAATAAAATCTTAAAAAAAAAAAAAAAAAAAACGGGCAGAGGACCTGACCAGACATTTTTTCCAAAAAAGACATATAGATAGCCAAAGAGACATGAAAAGATGCTCAACATTATTTTTTTTAAAGATTTTATTTATTTATTTGACAGAGATCACAAATAGGCAGAGACACAGGCACAGAGAGAGAGGGAGAAGCAGGCTCCCTGCTGAGCAGAGAGCCTGATGCGGGACTCGATCGCAGGACCCTGGGATCATGACCTGAGCCGAAGGCAGAGGCTTAACCCACTGAGCCATCCAGGCACCCCGATGCTCAACATTATTAATCATTAGGGAAATGCAAGTCAAAATCACAATGACATATCACTTTACACCAGTCAGAATGGCTAGTATCAATAAGACAAGAAATAACAAGTGTTGGCGAGGACGTGGAGTAAGGGGGACCCTTGTACACTGTCAGTGGGAATGTAAATTGGTGCAAATACTGTGGAAAACAGTATGGCAGTTCCTTAAAAAAAAAATTAAAAATAGAAATACCACACAATCCAGTATTTCCACTACTGGGTATCTATCCAAAGAAAATGAAGACTTTAATTCAAAAAGATATGTGTACCTCTATGTTTATTGCAACATTTTTTACAATAGCCAAGATACAGAAGCAACTCAAGCATCTGTTGATAGATAAATAAAGATGTGGTGTATTGAGGGGCGCCTGGGTGGCTCAGTGGGTTAAGCCTCTGCCTTCGGCTCGGGTCATGGTCTCAGGGTCCTGGGATAGAGCCCTGAGTCGGGCTCTCTGCTCAGCGGGGAGCCTGCTTCCCTTCCTCTCTCTCTCTGCCAGCCTCTCTGCCTACTTGTGATCTCTGTCTGTCAAATAAATAAAATCTTAAAAAAAAAAAAACCTTTAAATTAAAAAAAAAAAAAGATGTGGTGTATTGATACACACAATGGAATGTTACCCAGCCATAAAAAAGAATGCACTCTTGTCATTTGCAACAACATGGATGGACCCTAGAGAGTATTTTGAAAAGTGAAATAAGTCAGTCCGAGAAAGACAAATACTATTTGATTTCACGTATATGTGGAATCTAAAAAGAATCTAAAAAAAACTAATGGACAAACAACAACAAGGGGCACCTGGGTGGCTTAGTCGGTTGAGCATCTGCCTTTCGCTCGACCGGTGATCTCAGGATCCTGGGATTGAGCCACAAGTCGGGCTCCCTGCTCAGCAGGGAGTCTGCTTCTGCTTCTGCTTCTCATTCTCCCTCTACCCCTACCCTCCCATTCTGCGCCACTGCTTGTGCTCTCTCACTCTCTCTCAAATAAATAAAATCTTAAACAGCAATAAAACGGACTCTTAAATACAGAGAACAAACTGGTGGTTACCAGAGGGAAGGGGGGATGGACAAAATATGAAATAGATAGGGCATTAAGAGGTATAAGCTTCCAGTTATACAATAAATGTCATGGAGATGAAAAGTACAGTATAGGGAATGCAGTCAGTAATATTGTAATAACATAGGGTGACTACAGTCATCGTGGTGAGATTATAGAATTGTTGAATTAATATGTTGTACACCTGTAATTAATATAACATCATATGTTAATTATACATCAATACAAAAACATTTATGTTAACAGGGTTAATGTATAATGGGTTTCCGTTGTTTTTAACAAATTTGTAAAAATTTAAATTTTTTTCTGTTTCCCTTTTTTTTTTTCATTTTTAAAGGTTTTATTTATTTATGTGACAGAGAGAAAGAGAATACAAGCAGAGGGAGCAGCAGAGGCAGAGGGAAAAACAGGCTCCTTGCTGAGCAGAGAGCCCAATGTCGGACTCAATCTCAGGATCCTGGGATCATGACCTGATGCTGAAGGCAGTTGCTTAACCACCTGAGCCACCCAGGTGCCCCTCAGGTTCCATTTTAATATGTTAAGTATTGATAGATATAATCCACTTCAACAAAAGGTTTTTGGATCTTCAAACCCTATTCTTAATTTTTAAGAATATAAGAGGTTCTAAAACCAAAAAGTTTAGGGGGAAAAAAAAGTCTGACAACTGCTGCACTAGATCATAAGTTCCTTTAGATCCAGACAGTATTAATATTTTTGTGCGCATAAAAAAATTTACCCAGAACTCTTATGCCTGATGCTGTATTACACACTGGGGATTCAGAGTTGAAAAAGTTCCTGTTCCTAGAGGATTCACAGGCCATTGAAGAAGACACATAGGTAGGTACAAGAACAACTGTAACAGGAACTATGAGAATTACAGGAGCCTACACCAAGAAAACCAATCTATTAGGTGAAGGGAATGAGAGGTGCAGTGACCAAGGAAGGCTTCCCAGAAAAGCCATCATTTGATCTGAGTTTTTAAGGCCATCAGAATCAGCCAACAGAAGAGCATTCTAGACAGAGGGAACAGAATGCATAAAAAGTGGAAGCTTTAAGAGAAGTATGGTTATTTCCAGGTCCTGCATGTGGTTCAGTCCGAATACAGCATGAAGTACAAGTCTGTGTATTGGGGGTGAGGATGGGAATGAAAGGAAATGAGGCAGGGAGGTAGGCAGGGGCCAAAACGCAGGACTTCATATACCATATTAAGAAATGTGGATTTTTATCCTTAAAAGAGAGAGGCAGGAGGGAGGGGTTTGGGAGTATTCTAGTATCTTATTGGCAGTAACTTTTTTAAAAGATTTTTGGTAACAATGTCAAGGTTCTGTTGAAAGAACATGTGAATTGGGGACCCAGGAGGAAGACCACAGCAGACACAGGCTGGGGGTACTTTAAGGAGCTGCCCAAGACAACCCCAGAGACATCATGTGTAGGAAGTAGAATCCACAGGATTAAGTGGCTGTGGAAAGTGAGGGACAGGGGAGCGCTTGGTAACCCCCAGGGGTTTAGCACTGGCTACTGGGGAGGGTGGAGGTGTCTTCCACGAGTTTGGGGAAAACAGGGAGATGGTCCCAATGAACGCTGTGAGGTCAGGTTTGTTCCACGCGTAGCAAATCGGCAGCTGAGCAGATCTAAATACATTTCCGCACCCCGTCCCCAGCGGCCCGGGCCCGGGGCCCTCGGTTCCCACGGCTCCCGCCCCCACCAGCAAAAGCCAGGCCGCCCCCCGCCCCCACCAACGCTCAGCCTCAGGGGAGCAAGGAGAACCGCTCCCTCCTAGTTTCCTCCGCCGGGACTCCCCTTCCCCCTCCTCCGAAGCGGCTCTCCATTTCCTCTCCACCCCGCCACCCCGCCCGAGGAAGCACGAAAACAAACAGCCCCGGACCCCGGGCCTCACGCTTCCCGACTCGGGAGCGGCTCCCGCGGCGGCGGCCTCAGGGAGAGGAGGCATCCCGCCCCCGACTCCCGATGCCGGGAGCTCAGGAACTCTTCCCCCGCCTTCCCCGCCTCAGCCCGGCCCCGCCTCCCCACGGGGAAACAGCCCAAAAAAGGGCAGAAAAGAAATTTTGGCGTAAAGTTGGCCAGCAAGAGACGAAGGGAGTCCGCAAGGAGAAGGAAGGGAGGCAGGGCGCGCGGGGCCAGCGGCGGCGATTGGAAAGCTGGCAGGGGGAGGGGGAGGGGACGGGAGGGCCGCGTCCCGGGGGTGGGGGCGGGGAGCGCTCCGGGTCGGGCCGGGCAGGAGCCACGCGGAAAATATGCGGGACACGTGGGGGGCAGGGCCGGCGGGGCGCGGAGCTGGGTACCTAGCCGCCCAGCCACCGTAGGAGGGGCGCTGCCTCAGGGGCAGGGGCTGGAAGGGGAAGCTAGGGGAAGAGAGGTCAGGCCCGCCCTCGGGGGCAGCAGGCCCGGCCTCGTTCCTTACTGGCTCGGGACCCTGGGCTCCCTTCCTGCCTCAGTTTCCCCAAGTCCCTGGTGAGACTCACCGCTGTCACTACCACGTCGGTAACGCTGACCCAGAGTCTGGGACTCGGGGTAAACTGAGGTACTCGAACCACGGAGGAGCCCCGCCTCCCAAGAGACATTTAATCCAGGGGGATTTACAGGAAACTTCTAAATTAAGGGCAGCGACTGCTGCAGCTGAGGGGGGCACGCGGGTCCCTGCGCCCGCGCAGCTGCCGTGAGCTCACGCCCCGAAATAGCCCCAGGGGCCCCAACCGCAGCTGTTACTGGGCCCGGCTGTCACTCAGAGGAACTTTAGAGCCCCCAGCCCTAGGGTCCCCTCCCCTCCGCAAGGCCAGAGTTTTTCCAGCAGACTGTACCAGCTACTTTACCTTCCGACGGCTGGGGGATAGGGGGAGGGGAGGAGCCTCGAGGGGGGCGGTCCCGAGGGGGTGGGAGCAGGGGGCGGCCGCGTTCCCCCACCCCGCTGAGCTTCTGCCCCTACAAGGTTTGGGCCGCGGTGGGGGAGGGTCCCGGCCTTCGGCTCCGCCCGGCCCCTCCCAGCCTTTTAGGCGCCCGCGCGGCTGGGACATCCCAGTCCCGCTTGGTCCTCCTCGCCTTCCACCCGTGCGCCCAGTCCGCGCAGCCAGCCCAGTTCGTCCAGTCCACACTGCCCGCCGGCCGGCCCGCCCCCCACCGCAGCCATGGACGCGATCAAGAAGAAGATGCAGATGCTAAAGCTGGACAAGGAGAATGCCATCGACCGTGCCGAGCAGGCCGAGGCCGACAAGAAGCAGGCTGAGGACCGCTGCAAGCAGGTGGGGGCCCCCGAACCCAGTGCAGCGCCCTCCTCCCTAACGAGGGAGGGGTAGGCCCTGCCCTGTGCCCCCTAGCCTGAGGCCTGCGATTGCAGGCTTTCCCGTCCAGTGTGAGGGCTGGACTTTCACAGTACCATCAGGGACCCAGCCAAAGCCACACTTAATCTCACCCACCATACCTGGGCAGCTGCAGTCTCCCAGTTTCCACACCTGCCCCTGCAGAGCAATGATGGGCCCAGCTTCTTGGGGCTGGAAGCTTTATCTCTAGCCCCACCAGGTCCCTCTCAACACCCCTGGCTGCACTGTCCTTCCTCTGCTCTCCTGCTTCCTACCTGACAGCCTCTAAGTACCTTTTAGTAGCCCCCTCACCCACAGCCGGGCCTCCTTCCTGAGCCCCCCGCCACCTAACTAACCAAGGCCTCTCCCTCCCAGCTGGAGGAGGAGCAGCAGGCCCTCCAGAAGAAGCTGAAGGGGACAGAGGATGAGGTGGAAAAGTATTCTGAGTCAGTGAAGGACGCCCAGGAGAAACTGGAACAGGCTGAGAAGAAGGCTACCGATGTGAGTGTGGACCTGGGGTATGGTGGGAGAGTGCACTGGGAGGGGTCCCAGATACAGGAATGAAGGGAGAAGGGGACCTGGACATCCCCAGCACCAGGACAGAAATAGTTTCCTCTCAGAAACCCAGGCTAAGGCAAGGTTGCACAATTAATCTAAGGCAGTGGGTAAATCAAAACCATACACCATTTCCCCCAGAAGACGCAGCCTTGTAAGTCCATTTGGTTCCAGCTCTTAGAACGCACAGTGATCAAGCAGTTAGTCATTGTGGGGGGTGGGGGTGGTACAAGAATTTACCATCTACCTCAATTAATCCTCTAGCTGAAAGTGGAGAAGAGGCTGTAGCTCCATTTGCAGGGTGTGGGGTGTGGGTGTAGGTACTACTGAGTAGGAGGAGGGAGAGGAATCCAGAGATGGGGCCTGACTTGAGTTACACCCCTGGGGGGCCATTAGAAATTCCCTGGCCTTGACCTCTGGCTCCAGCAGCCCTGCTGTGCACTGGGGCCCAGCTCAGGTTCTAATGGCCCCTCATTTACCCTCATTAAGCTGTTAGCCTTGAGACCATGCCAGGCCACAGGACGGAAGGACAGGGCCACAAATGCCAAGGCAGCCACCTTACCAAGTCTTGTTCACTCTGATATTTCTCTGTCCACCCCACATCCCCCTAACCACATTTCTCTACCTTCTGCCATTCCCAGCCCCCACCTTGAGGTTGAAGAATGGCCAAATGACCATCCAAATGACTTTGGTTATGATACTTGTACCATTCTCTGCCTCAGTTTCCCCACTTGCCTTCCATCCAGGATTAAAATGAGTCTATGATTGGAGGTATGGTAGGATTGGCAAAAGTAGGTCTGAACATCTGAGATCTGAGGTGACATTACTGTTTATGTTGACCATTATCCATGTTTCCCAACACCTCCCTGCCAAGGTTGGTTTCTCTGACCTCCAGGCTTGGTTTTGGTTCTCCACCAGCCCTGGCACTTGGGAGGGAACTGACCTGCAGCTGCTAGCAAAGGCAGCCCTGTGTGTTTGACGCTCTATAAATAACTAAGGCCCAGTGCAGCTGGAGGCAGGACTGGAAACCTAAGGAGCTGGGTGGGGGCTAGAGTGGAGGAGGGGAGGAGGGGAGGACAGGGACAGAGCTGGGGATGCAGGGCAGCAGTGCCAGGAGTCAGTAGCAAACACTGCCTGGACTTATTGTATGACCTTGAACACAGCACTTCACTTACACAATGCCTCAGTTTCTCCCTTCTCTCTTCACATTTATCCAGTGGGGACAGTAGTGCCTGTCCTGTGGTTGGAGAGCAGCATCTATAACTGGGAAGAGCTTGAGAAGTAGAAAATGGCAATTATCAGTCCTGTGATGAGGACCCCAGGACTTCCCAGACTTTTCAGTCATTTGTCATCCCACTATCACAAAGAGAGTTTTCCTTTTATCTTTCTCTAGAGTAGACCCCTAAGGTCCCCCAGAGTCGTTCTTCCCAATCCCCACTGCTGTCCCCAGAATCCTTCCACACTGAGTCATCTGGTCCTCTGCCTATGATGAGCTTTGTCACTCTAGGTGGCCTCAAGCACCTGGAGGACAAGCCACGACTTTATATGGTGCTGAGTTTCCCTGCTGTTCAATACCACCCAGGACCTGCTTTCTACCTGCTCTGCCCCCAGGGCTGCCACCCATCCTTTCCCTCTTTCACTTCTTCCCCTACACTGGCCCTTTCTCCTTTCCAATCTTAAATCTCAAGGTCTTTGTCTCTGAGGGAGAGACAGGGATAACCTAACATTTATGGAGTGCAGACTCTGCGGACAGTGTGCCCAAGTGCTTGCCACATACTGTTTTACAATTTCCCAAACTTGGCTTATCATCAAAATCACTTGGAAGCTTAAAAAAAAAAAAAAAAAGGGGGGGGGGGAAGATTTCCAAGTTTCTGCCCTGGAAATCTCATTTCAGTGAACCTAGCATGGAGCTAGAAAGCCTGTTTGGTTTTACAAGCCCTTCCACTTGGTCTTGTTGATTATTAGAAGACCTGTATTACCTCAGAACCACCTATAGAAGAGGAACTGCTTGTGTCAACTCAGATTTAAAATTTAAAAAGGAGGAATCTGAGGCCTGGAGGGACTAAATAAGTTGCCCAAGGTCACACAAGTGTAGAGTGGGTGAGCTGTAGCTGACTCAGAGCCCATGCTCTTAACACCAAACTACAGTGCTTCTCTCATTTTCCTTTATTGGGGGCCCTTCTTGCTCTGCCTTCTTATTTTCATAAGGTATCATCATTTTCCGTGGACCATTCCCAAAACCTCCGTGGTTCTACTTCTACGGCAGATCTGGGGCTGCACATGTGTCACTCACACTGCCCTAGCACCGCCTCCAGGTGCCCCTGGCGGGGCGGGGCACTGTCCAGAAGCCCCTTGTTACAGCCACGGGAGACGGATGTCTCCCGTCGGCGGGGCTAGGCTCCAAGCCCCTCACTGGGAGTCTGACTGTCAGCTCGTGACGTCACTGAGCTTGACTCTTGTGATTGGCTGTTTTTAGCAACGGCACTGTCTGGTTGGCTCGATTTTCCCCACCCCCTCGGGCCAGGCTTTGTTGTGGAAGAGTCAGAAGGACTCAGACCTGGTCTGAGCATGGAGCGCTTTCAGTGGGTACAGAAAGGCCTGCAGATAACCATCAGGAAACTATGCACAGCGCTAAAAGAGTCCCTGAAGCAGAGAAGTGGAGCTTGTTAAGGAATGCATGTTTTGGGCTGGAGTAGAGAATCTGGATAGAAGATGGTTGGTTGGGGGGGCCGGGGGGGAGAATAAGACTGAAAGTCTGGAAGCCAGGAAACAGATTCTTTCTGACAAGAATCTTACCATCCTCTGGAACCTCTCTGATCCTCATCCAAGGCAAAAAAAAGCCCCCTGACCTCTGGCCTTTGACCCACAGGCCGAGGCAGATGTGGCCTCCCTGAACCGCCGCATTCAGCTGGTAGAGGAGGAGCTGGACCGGGCGCAGGAGCGCCTGGCCACAGCCCTGCAGAAGCTGGAGGAGGCTGAGAAGGCAGCTGACGAGAGCGAGAGGTGGGCAGGGGGCCTCCCAGAGGGCGGGCCAGGCAGGGGCTGGCAGCCTGTCTCTGCTGGTCCTGACCCAACTTCTATCCCGCACCCTGCGTCTCAGAGGAATGAAGGTCATCGAAAACCGAGCCATGAAGGATGAGGAGAAGATGGAGCTACAGGAGATGCAGCTGAAGGAGGCCAAGCACATCGCTGAGGATTCCGACCGCAAATATGAGGAGGTGACAGCCCTGCCCCACTTCTTTCTCCCTCCCAAACCACAGATGCTCCCAGCCACTCACCAGAGGTTTGCGCCTTCTGTCCCTCTCCCCCCAGGTGGCCAGGAAGCTGGTGATCCTGGAAGGAGAGCTGGAGCGCTCAGAAGAGAGAGCAGAGGTGGCTGAGAGGTAAGGAGACCCTGGGGCAGCAAGTGAAACTTGGCCTGGTCCATGGCTCTGGGGTACTCTGGACCGTGGGAGGCAGTTTCCCAGGCTTGGGGCCATAGGGACAGGTCCTGTCCTCTGACCCCGAACTGCTGCCCCCAGCCGCGCCAGGCAGCTGGAGGAGGAACTCCGAACCATGGACCAGGCCCTCAAGTCCCTGATGGCCTCAGAAGAGGAGGTAGTGACCTCTCTGGACCTTTCTGGGCAGTGGTGCCTTCTCTCAGCTCACCTTCCCCCCAAGTCTCAGGCTGCTCTCTCACCTGCTGGGGGTTGGGAAGGGCCTGGGGCTTCCAAACTCTGCCTGCTGTCACTCTCACAACTTTGCTCTTCTTTTCTCTCTTCCACCCCTTCCTCACTGTGCGGTCTCCACTGTCTCCCACACTGTGCCCTCACACCCCCCCCCACCACACACCCCCTGCAGTAAATGTGGGGACCTAGAGGAGGAGCTGAAAATTGTTACCAACAACTTGAAATCCCTGGAAGCCCAAGCGGACAAGGTAGAAGGGGGTAGACGGGCAGTGAGGATGGGGTCCTGCAGGGGAGGGAGGCGGTACGCTCAGGCAGGGAGGGGCTGGCTGTTCCCTGGAGACAAGATCAGGAGTAGCCTGTGGGCTCAGTGGAGTGAAGGATTTGTGGAGGCGACCTCCTGATGGCATGTGTATGTCCCTAAAAGTATTCCACCAAAGAAGATAAATATGAAGAGGAAATCAAACTGCTGGAGGAGAAGCTAAAAGAGGTAAGAATCCTACCCATCCCTGTTCTTCCCTCGAGCCCCCATCCCCGTCAGACTCTGCCTGTGGCAGGGACTTTGGGAATAGGGATGGAAGAGGAGGTTGACTTAAGTGAAAGTACCTGGGAGGGTCTAATTTTTGTCATTCCCCCTTCTTACCTTTACTCCCAGGCTGAGACCCGAGCAGAGTTTGCCGAGAGGTCTGTGGCAAAATTGGAGAAGACCATCGATGACCTGGAAGGTAAAGGGATATTCCCCTAATTCCCAAACCTTTTTAAGTCGGTCTGTCCCTTATTACATGTCCCAGATAAATTGGTGTTGGACCACCTAGGACTCCACCAGCGTCCAGGGCTGTGCCCACCATTCAAGTAGCTGCACCTGGGTGCGGTGTGCCCACTCCAGTGCTTCTCGAACGTGAGCCCTGGTAGGGGCAATGCTGCTGGTCCTCAGACCACACTTTGAGTAACACTGACCTAGACAATTTGTCCCCAAGTGCAACACAATAGCACTATATCACAAAGATCTCTTTATTAAAAATAGAGAGCTTTGGTTTAATATCTTAACTTTTCATGACATTAATGGAAAATACTATTTTAAGCTAGATTTGATGAAAATGAACATCCAGGTATTTGCTAATCTGTGGCTATTTCTCAGTAGTAGCAAGAATGTTGTACCTAAACTGTATTTTCTTTTTTTTCTACGATAACCCTTTCACTTTTGTAATTCCCACTTCTCGTGCTTCTAGCCTTCTCGGCAAGCCTCAATTTTATCTCCAACTTTAGGACCTTTGTCCTTTCTGGCCCTAGCACCCTCCCCTTGAAGCAAGCACTCCTACTCGTTCAAAGCACTGTGCCCCCATGTCCCTGAGGGAGGTAGGAGCGCCAAGGAGAAGGACTGATTTAGGCTCCAGAGAAAAAAGAGACAGGGGTACAGAGAGGGGAAGAGGGAGCCCTCAGGGCTGTCCAGCCTGTTCTCTGGCCTATTTCTCCTACTCATCCTTGTCAACCTCTCTCTGACTCTTGTTCTCTCTTTCCATTACCCTCTCTCCTTCCTTTCCTCTTTCCCTTCATTCCCTCTCCCCACACTCCCATCTGGCTCCCTTCCCCTGGACCCCCACCCCCACCCCCAGACGAAGTCTATGCACAGAAGATGAAGTACAAGGCCATCAGCGAGGAACTGGACAACGCACTCAACGACATCACCTCCCTCTGAGCCCCACGCCAGTGTGGCTCCTTCAGTCCCTTCTCTCTCCTCTTTCCGTTCTCAGTGGGGAGGGGGCAGGCAGGAGGAGCAAAATGGTCAGCATCACACAGCCAGGCTGGGCGCCGCCTCAAAGAGCCCCCACCACACCTGCCACCCACCTTGGCACTTGCTTTGTCCTTCTATCCACCCACTCCACCCTCCAGCCTCTACCTCTTTCTGCTGCTTAATAAACTCAACTTGGTCTCCATGCTGTTTTCCTGCCCTCCAGAGATCACTTCCTCACCCCCTTAGAGACCCTGGCTTTTATAGACACCCCCAATCTTGCGAGCCCCACCCCCACACTGAGCTCACCCACAGAACACTGTGGCCCACAAAACCCCCTTCACGTGGCACTCTCGCTCTGTCACTGTCTCACTGCTGCACGTTGGCACAAATCACCCCGTCAGTCGCTGCGAGCCCTCTGCTGCCTCTGAGAGACATGCTCTTATGCTGACCTAGCCCTGTCACTGACCTCAGAGCACGCCACTGTGGTTCCAGGATGAAGGAAGGACTGGAGAGGAGATGGGTGGGGAGGTGCCAAGGAAGGGCCAGAAGGTGGTGAAGGTCTGGGGTGACATTTGGGAAAACCCTGCATCCCAACATGGGGCTTTCACTGCAGGTCTGGTTTCTGCCTCAAGCCTGTCTGTCTGGCCTTCCCCTTTCTGGCTCAGTCTTTGTCTTCCCTTCTGATTCCAACTCTCATAAACCCTCTAGAGAAGGAGGTAAAGTAGTTTATGAATCAGGCTCCCCATCCCACTCCGACGACCCCGAAGCCTTGAGTGAGGCATCTGTCTCTCTCTTGGTCAATCCGTCTATTTGCCCCTGGCACGGGATCTTAAGAGTTCTTCGTGCTTATGTCTTCCTGTGCCTTCATCCCATTCCAAGTCTGCCTCATCCCCCATCTCCCCTCATGTCTCCCTGCCCCTCCTCACATGCTGCTTCCCCTCACAGAGACCTTGGCCAGTGCCAAGGAGGAGAACGTGGAGATACACCAGACTCTGGACCAGACCCTGCTGGAACTCAACAACCTGTGAGGGTTGCTCTGCCCCCAGCTGGGCTGCCGTTGCCGCCCCAACACAATAAAATGGATGTTACCTGCATCACGGGGCCCTTTCAACCTTTCTTTGATGTTAGCAATGGTGGTGGTAGTTTTCCAAAGTAGAAAGGCTGAGAGGATGCCCCGGGGCAGCAGTGGAGTGGAAGGGCCCGAGTGACCATACTCCACAGTAGGACTTCCTTTACCAAGGGAGCCAAGGGGTGGGGGCAGTGGGTTCCCTGAGGAGGGTTGTGAACAGACTGAGTGAAGCAGAGAGGCCCCTCTGGGCTGGGGGAACATCCAAACCCTTATACCCACACCGCAAAGGAGCTGCAGTCAGCGGCCCCGTGCCATTCCAGCAGCGGCCAGTCTGAAGGAAAAACTGCAAAGCTACACAGATTTTACTCCAGCAGGGTCAAAGCCTAAAAGCCTCACTATGATTTTAAGCCTAGAGGCTAAGCCTGCCCTACCCCCAGACACATATACTGCTGTGTGTGTGCCCAAGGCCATTCTAACTATCTCAGTCATTTCTACACCCTTCCCGAAAACATCTGTGCTAGGCAGTAATGCCCCCTCACCAAACTGTCCACACCCTGATCCCGTGAAAGGTTACCTTATGTGGGAAAAGGAACTTCATGATTAAGCTAAAGATTTTGAAATTAGGAAATTATCCTAAGTTACCCAAGTAGGCCCAATATAATCATAAAGGTTCTTATAAGAGGGAGGCAAGGTCAAAGGCAGTTGTTAAGAGATATGACAATGGAAGCAAGAGGCTAGGGCGATAAGAGGAAGAGGCCACAAGCCAAGGAATATTTGGCTCCTAGAACCTGAAAAAGGAAACCTCCCCTCAAAGTGCCCAGAAGGAACCAGCCCTTACTGACACCTTGATTTTAGCCCGGAAGAGTCATTGTGGATTTCTGACCTCCAGAACTTAAGAGGATAAATTTGCATTACCATTAAGTTTGTGGTGATTTTTAAAGGCAGCAATAGGAAATAAATACACCATCCTCCTGATTTGGGGAACAGAGCTGCCTTCCATATATTTTATTAACATTTATTTTTAAAAATATTTGGACCTTAAAAAGAAAGTGGTATAAAGGGTAGGATAGGACAAAGTCTCCAGCTCCCCCTCAGATTCTTCTGGCTGGCTTCTCTGCACATTCTCCAAGTTCCAAGGCCTCTAGGCAACAGTCTCCGTGACCTCTGCTGGGTGGTAGCTAACATTCCCTTTGGTCCCACTTCGGAATCTACACAACACAAAAGCCCAATCAGAAAACGCCAATGTGCATGAAACTGTTCTGGACTCATCGAGGGAAGTGGGCAGGTATACCTTTGCTGCCTTCTCATTTGCACAAGGAAGGCGATGCTTGTGACTGCAAAGAGGAGGCCAAAAACCAGGGCCAGGATGTCACCTGGAGGGAGAGGAGAGGCTGCCTCAGGGTGACGAGTCTGTAGGATTCCCTCGGCCTGCTTCAGTGTATCCCCCACCCTGCCCGCCCCCAGGTTCTCCAGCTGCCCTCAGTGTCAGAACCCAGAAGAGGCCCACAAAGGAATGGGGTTGGATACACAAGAAAGAATAAGATAAGCACCTCTTTTTCTTACCTAAAAGCAAAGTAAAAGAGGTTTTTTGAGAAGGAGGATGCTAGGAGATTTCTGTAGCTTCATTCTAATTAACTTTTGCCCTGGGGACAGTGGAACCCCCTCTCCCTTGATCTGACACTCTGTCTAATTGGGGTTGGAGGTCTGTTCTGCAGAAAAGGAGAAGGGGTAGGGGTGGTCCTAGCTCCTGAGGCTGAATGATGCCAAGGGGTCAGGGGCCAGAGATGCGGCACAGACTCACCAGCAGCAAGGCAGGAATTCAGGTGGACTGAAGAGGAAAAGGACACATTAGAACCAGGGTCTGTGACTGCCAGTGACAGACACAGGCACAAATGAAGACACATGGGAGGATGACGGACCCGGGATGGGGGGTGGGGGGGTGAGGCTCGGAGCAGGGCACTATGGGTCACCACAAAGCTGCACCTGGCTCAGTCCTGGGGCTGCTCTCTGTTTCAGTGAGGAAGGAGGCCTCGATTATTCGCCCATTCAGAGGCTGCGTTGCTCGGAAGTTCAGTTGTAGCTGAGAGTCATCAGGTCCCCACAGGGAGCCAGAGAGGGTGTGGAGCTAGGGAAGTCAGGAGACAGCGGTGGGGGTAGGCTCATGACAAGAAAATGAAATGGTCACAGGCCTCCTCACCGCCAGCACTCAGGGCTTCACCCGCTCTGTCCCCCTCGTCCCCCATTCAGCTGCTTCATCTCTATATCCACCTTGATCTCATCCCTACACACCTTTCCCCCACATCCCCTGTGTCACCAGCATGCCCCAGCCCCACCTGCTTCGCACTCAGCCTCACTGTCTGGTTGAAAACAGTCCAGATGACCCCCTGGGCGCAGGGGGGTGTGGTTAGAGACCCCTCATAGCGGAAGTAGCGGCTGAGGTCAGAGGGCAGCAGCGCAGATACATCCAGGCCAGGGACCCAAGTCTCTGAGTCTGTGGAGAGGACCTGTGCCGGAATCCCACCTGGACTGCTTCCCTCCAAAGCTCTGGAGTATAGGGATACAGTTTCACCTCCCAGAAGCCAAGCTGATGCAACTTCCTGAGACCACTTCTTCACTAAGTGTGTTCCTTCCCATAACTCAGCACAAGACCTAACTCAGAATAAGGTAAAAAGTCTATGGGGCCTCACAGAGTGAAAAAAGTGCTCCCAAGGTCCTCCCTGAGTCTTCACTCTTATTCTGCATACTATGATAACATGCTGAACTACAGATTTAAACCCAAAATGAATCAAAAGGAAAAAATGAGGGGGTGCCTGGGTGGCTCAGTGAGTTAAGCCTCTGCTTTAGGCTCAGGTCATGATCTCAGGGTCAGAACCACCCCCATCAGGCTCTCTGCTCAGCCGGAGCCTGTTTCCACCTCCCCCCACCCCACCCCTCTGCCTGCCTCTCTGCCTACTTGTGATCTCTCTCTCTGTGTCAAATAAATAAAATTTTTTTAAAAAGGGGGGGGCGGAAATGAACAGAGTAACTTGTAAATAAATATAAACATTTGAAACCATAAAAAACAGACACAAAACTCAAAAAAGCACAGTTCCCTCTAGTTTGGTAAAATGTAAGTTCCAGTAGTGAGGTTTAAAATTACTTAGAGTGAGGGGCACCTGCGTGGCTCAGTGGGTTAAGCCTCTGCCTTCAGCCCAGGTCATGATCTCAGGGTCCTGGAATCGAGCCCCGAATGGGGCTCTCTGCTCAGCAGGGAGCCTGCTTCCTCCTCTCTCTCTGCCTGCCTCTCTGCCTACTTGTGATCTCTGTCAAATAAATAAAATCTTTAAAAAATAATAAAATTTTAAAAATAAATAAAATATTTAAAAAAATAAAATAAAATTACTTAGAGTGACTGAAAAGGCAAAGATTTCCAACAAAGGTACAACTTTAAAATATTTGATGCTTATGGAGGAGAAATAGAGAATTTTCAGAAAAAAATTAGCTCTCTGGACTCAGCCTCTGAAGTTCCAAATACTTTTTGTTGGGGGGGGGGCTTGTTTTGTGTCTTCTTTTGGTTTTTGTTTTGATTTGGGGTTTTGTGGAGTTTTGGGTTTTTGGGGGGGTGGCGTGAGGTTTTTGTCTGTTTATTTTGGTTTTTAGCCATAAAGCCTGCGGGCCTCTGCTCAGCTTTGTAATTATTGTCAAGCTCACAGTCAGTTCACACATTGGTTCCCTGCCTGTGGGAGGGAGCCCATCTCCATCCTCACGCCTGAGGCTCCCCAAGGACAGTTCTTTTTTTTTTTTTTTTTTAAGATTTTATTTATTTATTTGACAGAGATCACAAATAGGCAGAGAGGCAGGCAGAGAGAGAGAGAGAGAGAGAGAGAGAGAGAAGCAGGCTCCCTGCTGAGCAGAGAGCCCCGTGCAGGGCTCGATCCCAGGAACCTGAAATCATGACCCGAGCTGAAGGCAGAGGCTTTAACGCACTGAGCCACCCAGGCGCCCCCGGACAGTTCTTTATGAACAAGGGCATTGAGGGTAGTGGCCAAACCAACAAACTGACCTTCCTCAGTAATTTCTTCCAAATGTGACAGCAACTGCTCATAGGCACTGTTTTCTTCTGGACCCTCCTGGGAAATGATAGTTCAAGACAG